GGATATGATCGATCCATTGGCAGCTAATCGCTCCCATCCAAAGTGCGACGCTATGCAATTGAAGCAAATAATGTAAACGAATCACTTTTCCTCCCAATCACTTCTCTTTCAGAACCCTACTAAATTGTCAGTCTATTTTGTGTTCTACATCGGAGGAACATATTTATATCCACCAAATAACGAAACTAGAAAGTTTGACATATACGTCGATGGCCAGAAAAAGAATACTACAGAACTCATCCCGGGAAATTTATTTTGCAGCATCGTGATAGAATCTCCGGTTGACGGTTCCATTAACGTGACTATATCTCCGATTAATGGAACTACAATGCCACCTGCGATTAATGCCATGGAAATTTTCTCTATAGCTAATGTTTCCAGTTCCCAGATCTCCAAGGCTAATTATCTTCTTCCTGTTTCTTCAATCCCTCTACTTTTGATCTGTTTTCTTGTGGTCTTTTCAGGGTTGTTCGTGAATTAAATAGGTATTTAGTGACATGGGTTCTTTATGTACGCTCTTGTGTTGATGAATGTTCTATATGAGTTTGCTATATTGTATACGTCAAATATTATACTGTGTATTTTTGTATGTCTTTGTTAATAAATTGTATTATAATTAATACATATATGTCAAGTTATTTATAAAATATATAAATTTTATTTAAAAGAATAAAAATGGGATGAAAAGTTAAGGTTTGAAGGCAATTCCAACGTTTATATTTTAGTTTTATTTTTTAACATTTAGCATGAAAGTAGCTTTCAAGTAACCCACATAGTCTAATACATAAATGTATATATATATATATATATATATATATATTTGCATCAAGATATTGATCTGTTCAAGAGAAGAGATTTGATATTGACAGGGTTTTTGTTCTCTGATTCTTCTGGTGTATTATATATTCTTATATATACTAATCAAATTAAGCCAGTCACGTTGTTTCCTCACTAAATCAAAACACTTCCTTAAATCATCTTCCAATCTTAACCAGCCGGCAAGGCAGAAACATCACAACTTTTTTTAAAAAAAAAAAATTGAATTTTCATTTCAAAATTTCATATTTTGAATTGAAGTGTTCGTTACATCTTTCTATTTGATCCTTAATACACAATGCACAGATGGGTCCTGATTCTGCCATTGATGTTGTTTCGATTCACAGCTCGAGAGCTTCCCGTAAGTAGTAGTTAATCCTTTTCATATTTGAGATTTGTTAATTTTCGTAAACTTATTCCAATTTTCACTTCTTAAGATTTTGAAATTTTTTTTACTTTTCAGTTTCAATAAACTGACATAGAAATTTTTTCTTAATTTTATATCGATTAAACTAGTTTTTTATTATGTTATTCATTTTAAGAAATAAAAGGACCTTCGAGAACTGAACGAAATTTTTTTAGATATTTTTTTCGGATTTGTAGAAATTTTTTTAGTACACTGCTTTTTTTATTTTGTTTAAGTGAAAAATTTTCTTGCTTGCAAGCAAACACGCGTTATAAAGATCTAGACAATTCAATTATTTAGGAAACAGATTCGGATATTTTCAAAAAATGGAGAGAATAAGGCCGTCAAGGATGAGAAAATTCTACCAACACTCGCGATGCATACCCTACGATCTTTCCCAACTGGGACTATGAATTGCTTCATTCTTCCGTTGGAAGAGTCGGGAAAGTACCTCGTTCGTGCAGGTTTTTATTACGGAAACTATGATAATTTCTCTTTAAGCCTCCAACATTCGATCTCGTGATCAATTACAACATAACAACCACAGTGTCCAATACTTCATTTGGGAATGAGCCAATTTTTCATGAGGTAATGTTTGTGACAGAAAAGAAAAGGTAACAAGTGTCTGTTTGGTTAAAACTCAAGGAGACATCATGCCCTTTATTTCTTCAATTGGGGTTTCATTGATTAATCCAGAAGCTTACAATTTCATGAGCAATAACATGGTACTACTACCTCCAAAGCAGGAGTAACTACGGCGCCAACAGTTCTATACCGTAAGTATTTTGCTTTCCTAATCTTTGTTTAATCTAGAAGTTCGGATAAATTAAAATTTTTAATATAAAATAAAAATATTTATCAATTAAGTGATATAAATTTAATAATTATAACACGATATAAATAATTTCAAGAGAGTCTGATTAAAATATAATTTTTTATAGAAAAATAAATTTACCCTTCTCAAACCGAGTTAAGTCATAATTCAATTTTTGATTTTTGGACAATATGCATCCAAATAATTTCATATAGGGTACGATTCAAGCTAACAAACTTTTTTAAAAGAATAAAAGTATTAATTATTAAATTAAATAGTAGTTAGTGTACTATCTACTCTTTTTAAAACAAGTTAGATCATAATTCATTTTTTGATTACTTTGTAGTATGCATCCAAATAATCTCGAAACAATCTAATTCAAACTTATGACATTTTATAGAAGAAGACGTATCAACTATTAAATTAAATAATAGTTAGTATACTATATATAATTCTTAAACCATATTAGGTCATAAATTTATTTTTATTTTTAAATAGTATGCATCTAGATAATCCCAAGTAGGGTTGTCTCAAACTTATAATTTTTTTGTAAAAGATTAGATTTATGACCTTTTGTAGAATAAGGGACGTACCAATTATTAAATTAAATAACAGTTAGTATACTATATATAATTCTTAAACCATATTATGTCATAAATTAATTTTTTATTTTTGGGATAGTGTGCATCTAGATAATCTCAGTAGAGTTGTCTCAAATTTATGATTTTTTTGTAGAAGATTAGATGTAGTAACTATTCAATTTTAAGATAAATGATCACATTTAATATTTTTAAATATCCTTAAACACTTATGTTTTATATAATCTACAGGGATCGATTCGATATATTTGAAGATGAATACAACCGAATTTGGAAGTATAAACAATTATTCAATTATCAAAATACAACCATGGATATGATCGATCCATTGGCAGCTAATAGCCTCCCCTCCGACGTGTGGCGCTATGCCATTGAAGCAAATAATGTAAATGAATCACTTTTCTTTCCAATCACTTCTCTAAAAAAGCCAAATAAATTGTCAGTCTATTTTGTGTTATACATCGGAGGGACAGTATTTATATCCACCAAATAATGAAACTAGAAAATTTGCCATATACATCGATGATCAGGAAAAGAATACTACAGAACTCATCCCCGGAAATTTATTTAGCAGCATTGTGATAGAATCTCCGGTTGATGGTTCCATTAATGTGACTATATCTCCATCTGATGGAACTACAATGCCGCCTGCGATTAATGCCATGGAAATTTTCTCTATGGCTAATGTCCGGTATACGAATCTCCAAGGCTAATGATCTTCTTCCTGTTTCTTCAATTTCTCGGCTTTTGATATGTTTTCTTGTGGTCTTATCAAGGTTTTTTGTGAATTAGATAAGTAATCAGTGACATGGATTTTTTTATGTATACTCTTGTGTCGATAAATGATTTTGTGTTTTTATGTTTTATATGAGTTATGTTGTGTTGTATGTGTCACATGTTATATAGGTTCTTCTGTTGAGCTAGCAGATGAATCTTCAATTTACCTTATATAATTGCTAAATTACTGATATATATATTATATGTGTAATATAATCTCGATCAACTTTTATATAAATATTCGTTTTTACTATGTCTCACTGAATAACAATTTATCTACATTTAAAATGATGAAAAGTGTATCATGGAGCTTGGTTGCTTGTATTGATTAAGTATAAAATAATACCGGAATACAAATGTCGAAGATGATCATAACACTCATGACAAATTAGATACAATAATAGTAATAATAACGATACATAATTTGTCTAAAAAAACCTTACCTAGACTAATATGATGGGTATCTAAGACGCCAAGCCAAGTCATTGCTTGAATCTAGGTTGTGACTTGAGTATAAACTGTAAATGACCAAGTTTTATAACTATCCCATAGTTCATTTAGTCATAGAGAATATACCTCATGAGAGTCGAGACCTTGTTCTGAGCACCGTCTTGGTTTGGTATTGAATCTAAGATTAGGTCCTAGGCAATGAACCAACCATTGAGCCTGTTCCTGAGTCAAATTGGAGACAAGGCCTAAACCTATGCCCATCTAGTACCCAGGTCCAAAATCTTGTCTTCGAATAAGGGCACAATCAAGACCAAACGCCAGAAATCATCAATAACCAATTTGGGTCCCCTTTATTCTCGAATCTGACTTCTGAACCAATTTATTTCTTCAGCACTTACAGCGTGCTCAAGGTTTAATCTATCAAGGGCGCAAAGGATCAGCTCACCATGTCATATTTCCATTTTTCTGCCCTTCAATTATGTGATGGGCCTTTAACCAAAAACAAAAATCCCGTGTGAAAGTAAACACCATCCAACAACAACAATCCACTGAATGCTTTTAATTGACGCTTCCTGCACATAAAGAAAAAACCATAACCTTCCAATTCTCCAGGGTGGCAATCCACTCCACCAAGAGAGCTTCTGGTATGCAAAGTTCCTCCTTTTTCTCTTCTCAGTAAGAATATGAAGCAAAGTTCTCATACCTTCATGTCAAAGAATTTTACCAAAGATCTTTCAAATTCAATGAATGCCAGTTCCACAGTCCAAAAGGCGGTACTTAAGGTTGATGGTTACTCTCATACCAAAAAAGATATCTCATAATGTATATAGACATATGCCATCAATAGTTTATATATTCATATGTATGTAGATATATGCTTTATCCTCCTAGAGCCTAAAATAGAAATATTATCTCTCAAAAAGAACCCTGTAAAACGATATATCATCAATAAATGGCTAATAGATGCAAATGCAAGGATCAACAATAAAACCGCTAAAAATTGCTAAGGATTCAAAGAAAATAAAATGCCGGGAAACTAGCTTCTGTTCTTCTAATGAATGTTTTACATGACTGCAACTTTACACTGTAATTAGAAAAACTAGTTAATGTTGAGGTAGCGCTGGTCTCTTTTCCAACATCTCATAATGGAGAACAAAGTTTTCCTGCATCCAAATTACAACATTCAGGGGACTTACAAGAAGAACCCAGAAACACACCCATGACACCAAAAATAAAATAAGAATATAAATGGACAAGACAGGGAACACATAAATCTGAACCTTGCGGATAATTTCAAATGTATTTGGATCAAAACAGTGATATGATCCTCTCTCATAAGTGTTCGTCTTAACTAGTGGTTCCCCAATCCTAATGAACCATAGCCTGTGCTCCTTGTGATAAAACCAGCCTCTATTATAGCTGCAAACAACAATGTTAAAATAACTATTCAGGCAATTTACCACCTTATTGGCCTTGCTGGCTTATAGGAAGAAAATACAAACATTTTTCCCAATTAGGCTAAATCAACGCTGCCAAGTGAAAAGAACAATTAGATACTCTAAGATCACATTTGGCTTATCGAGTAACTCAAACACAAAAGCTATTCTAATTATGCATCTCAAGGCTAATATAAATTTAAAACTAAAATTTGATGGAAATTGAACAGATGAGCCGTAATAATACTGGCAGGGAAGTTATTTGGCTTAGGAAACATACAGTTCATTTGCAGCATATAATTGTGCTTCATCTTTCGGCATGCTGCAAATAACAAATAAAGGTGGTTAAGATCTGATCATCAAGAAAGACAAAACAAGAGCATGCAATCTGATAAAGAGATGTACCTGTAAAATATATAAAACAGTGTGTCCACCGTGAACTTGGCAAAGTATCCTTGCTGCAGCCAGCCAAAACACATTAGACAAAAGCAAACAACAATTCGTAATGCACAAAAACTGCATTTTAATTATGAAGCGCAACTCACATGTAAAGCAGGTGGCTGTTTAGCATAATAGCACTGTGGCACGCTGAATTCTGGATCACCTTTGGCTGGTTCATCTGACCATGGGGAACCAAAAGTCTTGTGAAGGTTGTCTGTTGAATTTAAATTTAATCCTAGAGTTGTCAGATCGATTCCAAGAGCAAGTGAGGTCAGATCAGGATCACTCATTTTTATGACGCTTAATAAGCCAAGTAAGCCAAATGGATCCGGATTAGACTGCGCTGCCTGCATGGATTTCATGCCTGGGTCCCTAAATGACTGATTAACAGCTGACATTTGCTGCAAGCGAAACTGAGATTGGTTCTGGTGTTGCTGATACTGCTGGATAAGTTGGTCATAACCAATACCAGAAACTGTATTTGGAGAATTTAGGGGTCTCAGTCCAATGCCAGGTGGTCCGCTGGTCTGAAAAAGAAAAAAGTCAGAGGTAGATTAAATTATAAATATGGGAAAAGATTAGTATAGATATTTTAAGAAAAAGGATCAGCATTCATGTCCTCAAGACCCACTTCCCTCAACAATAAATTAATATAGGAGAAAAGGTTGGAGCCCGTCATCTTAATTTTCAGTTCATATTAAAGAGTGCAGCATGTTATACCATAACATAACATTTAGAGAACAAAGTGCCCACAGGTCAGAAATTATCAATAGCAATTTACATTAAAATCTATTAAAGGAGGATGAACCGTCCACCCCACACCCCTCAAGAAGAAAACAAAAAAATAACAGAACATCTTCACAATACCAAACCTTCACACCTGTGAGTGGTACGTTGAATGTGAAGATGGAAAGATATCTGAGCCATGTAAATGAAGAAGATCTTGATTGTTTACAGGTGAAAAAGAGACACCACTACTACTGACTGATGGAGCATGTTGCTGCTGCTGCTGTGGACGATGAGATGAATAGGTTCCTCCAAAATTCAACCCAGCAGACCTTCCCATCTGCAAATTGAAGCATTTAAATATGAAGGAGACCTCATTAAACAAGCAGAATCAGGTCATTCAAGAAGGCAAGGCATTCTTTTACAAGCTGCAACTCACAGAGAAATGTTGTGACTGCATCATCGACATAGCATTGTCATGAAGTGGTTCTTTTTGATGCAAATCCATCCCATAATCCGCATTACCACCTGAAAAGACCTAAAATATGATCAAGAATACAATCGTTTTAAGGAAACAAATTAATAGTTAAGCAAGAGAAACTGATAATCTTCCATAAGGTATATTTTTATAAGATCTCCATAAGAATAATTTCTCAAAGTTCCGGAACCAGCGATTAAATAAATAAGTAAAATTCAAAGTAGGCCTCAAAAGTACTAGAAATGTTAAAATTCAGTCCATGACACACCACTAAGACAACTGGAGACATCTGAGATATTTATTAGAAAACCAACACATAGGGGCTCTTAAACAGAAGCTTATCAGATGATGTGAAACTTTGAGACCTATGAATTTCTAAAACCATCAAGTTTTGAGTTCACACCCGCCATCTCTGGAAGCACCTCTTAAGCTATACCTTCATCATAGTTAATAACTAATACCTGTCAGCATCTTCTAACTAGAGCCAGACATTAAGGCACCATTGCCAACATGGAAATCCATCTCAGATCAGATGGGTTGATACCTCACATTTACCAGCAAAGGGAAGCTATAAAATGCATTTAAAACCAAATTTTCTTGTAAAAAGTTTTATTATTTAAACCTTTATTATTAAAGACTTAAAAAAGGTGGGGGCTGCGCACCTTTAAATCCTGGTAGAGCAGGAAAATCTTCACTTTGCATGCTGAACTCTTGGTTTTGTTGAACAATAGGACTAACTCCCAGGCCTTGTTTTCGTAATGAACCTGCAAAATTTTTAAATTATACTATATTTTGAGATACTACCTATTTAACATCCAACAGCCAAATGGCACAATCTATTCTTTAACAACCTAATTGTCCTTGAGGCCCGCCAGCGGAACTAGGGCGACTCGTCAACTGAGGGAAGTCATTATTTATATCAAATGGGGAATTGTCACTAGAATTTACATCATTCAGCATTCCCATTGAGCTTAGATTGTTCACTGCCTGAACATGGCTTTGAGAAAGTGGACCACCAGCTGTAGGATAAGAATTTCCTAACATAGAAATTACTTGAGGAGATCCTGAACCCAGAAAATATCATCCAAACAATCAGATAAGCTAAACAAGTAACCCACCTAGTTCGTCGTTTTTAATATAGACTTTAATGGAAAATAAGATCAATGGAATGCAGATATATTTCCACATTAGACCAACCACGGGAAACATGAAATGGCTAGGAAAGATATTAAAGTTGAGCATTTATTGAGAGGATCATAAAAGCACACAAATGTGAATCGGACAACAACATCTACAATGCAGAAGATTCTGTACACAGACAGTTTACCCATTTTATCTAATGAAGAGATATTAATAAGAAGTTAATTCGAGTTTCCTTTTGATGTAAATAATGATACCACACACTAACCAGCCAGAAGTTAAACCAAGTTTAATAACCTCCTTTTATATAAAGCTAAAATATAACTATTACTTTGCTATCTCAAATCTGTTCCGGAAACCACACCTTCAAATTGGCCCCATGACAGAACTAAACAACAGATTGCATCCAATTGCTTATTTAACTATCATCAGAAGCATTCATCAATTTCTATTTTCCTTCCAAAAAAAGGATAAGTCAATGAAATTTGAAAACTAAAACATATAAGAATATCTTATCTAACGATAAAGAATAGGTATATGTGTACTCAAACAGAAGCATCAGTATTCACAACGATTTCCCTTTAACATAAGCACAACTTTTCAGCCACTTCAAAGCCACTAACAAGCTGTCACAAGTTAGAAAATACCTTGGGGAAGCACTCCACTCATCAATCGATTTTGCCCTTGCACGCCTAAACTTCCGGATCCACTATTTGCGGTTAAATTTAGACGAGAAGCAAGCCCAGGCACAGATAACCCTCCACCAGAGGTTATGCTCCTTCCTATGTTGGCCCCACTTACCATGTTTCCCATAGAACTTGTTATCCGGGGACCAGCATTTCCCAAAATTGGGGATACTCCCAATCCTGGAACAGCATTCCTGTTACCAATTGCAGCAGAGGTTGGGAGAATCCCAGGAATAGAACCGCCAACTCCATTTGTGTTACTTCCAAATCCAGGGTTTCCTACAACACTCATACCTCCTCTATTTGTGACTCCAGAATGTCCATGGGAGCTGCCATGAGATAGCTGCAAAACAGATAGAATGGATAAACTAAAATAAGGACATTGCATTATTAATAATAGAGAAAAAGAGAATCGAAGAGAAATAGCAGCTGGTAAAAATTGCTTTCATGCAAGTACAGCAAGCAATAATGACCATATGGTGTGAATATTACAAGTACCTGAGAAAGAGCAACAGGTAGATTATTCGAGGCAAATCTTCCACTAGAAAGGCTTCCAGTTGGTTGTTGAACCCCACCAGAGGCAACATTATTTATACTAGAGTTTCTTGATGTAAGGGTGCCTGGTATGTTAGGAACGCTAAAGTTACCATGAATATTATGAAGCCCCTGAATGGTTCCTGTACAACAAAGAAAAAGTAAAAGTTGAAGTTTTCAAAGTTCAGAAGAATACAAATGGGATGAACTCCAACAAATTCATACTCACCAGTGTGATGGAAAACTGGGGAGGCTGCACCAGACTGACCAGAGAAAGAAGTGGCAAAAGATCTTCCAGTGCTGTCTGGTAGATTTGAAGCTGATCCATTGATAGAGGACTGCAGCCCCAAAGCACATCATGGTTTGCAGTGAAAATATAGTGGTCACAAAGCGCATACAATCCAAAAGAAATCACAAAGAGAAGAAAGATCACAACATAGAGATAACATATACAGCATCAAGGATGCAAAAGTAACAGTTTCTTGAAGATTAAATGTTTATTCCAGTAAACCTTAGAAATTTAGAACTGTGAACATCGTATAGATTGTGAATAGAAGACTCATGAAGGTAGAATCAAAAGAGATACTCCAGGATACTTATCATAGGCAAAATTGCACTCCAGATTCTAGGATATTTACAACCGTAAGTAGAATAAGTGAGAATGCTGGATTAGAAAATCCCAAAATATGCAAAAAGTAGTCACATGCATGGACCTCTGAAATTCGCACATAGGTGAATTAGGAGTTACGGACCTAAAACCAAAATATAATAACTGTTCTGACACCAACCATACAAAGAGTCAAAACACATGATCAGTGCTCACGAAGTAAGCATGCCTACAGGCTATATATCGCCTTCATGCCTTGAAATAGAAAACAGATTTATCAGCTAGATGAATGGTTGGGATGTGTACTGAGTTTGAGCACATCTAGGGTTAAGCAGCAGTACATTAAGTAAGCCCGACATTGTACGAAGCGTCAATACGTCATGCAAAAACTCATTCCTTGCTGGGAACAAACCCCTCTGTCTCTTTGCGGTCCGAAATTGCCGATTTAGAAAGCTTCCAAGTGAGTATTGAATTTATAGCCTGAAAAGACAACATTGCCGTAAGAGAAATATCCCAAATACAAACACGTGGCATAAGTACGATACAAATACGAACAAAAAAATATATGATAACATTACAAGATCATCCAATAATGAGCTTCATTACAAGCCCCATAATGGTAAAAAACCCAAATTGAATACATAATGTCCCATCCTTTATGTGTAATAACTTGCATTGTTTGAATTGACATGTGGTTATTCTCTTGAAACACAAATGTCACAATCAAAAGTCCTCAAAATAAGAACGCCAGTCACGCAGGAAAAGACCTCTGGGCTCAACGCTTCTATGAAAATTTCTAGAGACCTTTTAAAATGGGGAGATAGCCATGAAACAGCAACCATATGGTAACTGACCAGAATAACACTTTGCAAAAACCCAAGTGCATACAGTATATGAAAAAAGAAAATAATAATAATAATAATAATAACTAGTTAATAAATAATTCCAGATCTCGTTCAATGCTCATTCAAATGCACAATCAAAATACATTAAGAGTATCTAAAATGAAAAGAATTCCATCTTTTATAGTTTGTAGGAAACTGCAATAACTTCATCATTAGTTAGGAATATTTTTAGCTAATAGTAAGGCCACAAACACGAACCTCCAAGTTTTCGATTAGAAGACTCTCCCTAGACCTAAAAAATCTCAAAATGAACATAGGCATAAAAAGACATCTCATATCTCGAGCATTCAATACAATCCCGCATGACAATGCCATATAGTATACAGAATATAAAATTCGAACCTATCCTTTTACACTTCCTGCCAGCTAAACTTCAATTTCTTTACTGCCAGATTGAAGAACAACATCGAAATTGAAAAGAGTTGTTTGATTATTCCCAGTGAACGTATTATTACATCTTTTAATTTATCATTTCCTCGGGACTTAAGGCACACTCCACCATTGCTGTCCTTACTTCAGGCAAGCTTCTAAAGCCATAGAACCAAGCAAGCAAAACAATATGTCCACATTATCTTTCATTCTCATCGCAGTTTCTCAGCAACCAAACAAACACTAAAACACATAGTACCCCCCGGTTACCCCCTCGAAAATCCTTAAAACTAACAAAAAATTACACAATGAATTCTGCGTTACCAAATTAACAAAATCCTGCCGAACAAAACCTCAATTGAAAAGCACGAGATAGATACCGGGGAAGAAAGTTAAATTTAGGTTTTAAATAGAGTCGCGTAAAATGCGTGGATCGTAAACTGAGAGATAGTGCTTCCGAGATCGAACTCGGTCGAGTTAAAATCGAACTCAGAGAGTGAGAGTACCTGAGAGTCAGATCAGCGAGATTCGATTATCGATAGACAGAGAGAAAGAGAGAGATCTTTGGTGAAGAGTCAAATGAGCGAGCTCTGGCTGTGTACCCTAAAATCGAAAGTGCAGGAGGACAGAGAAAAAGGGACATAGAGAAATGGCAAGTAAAATGATTTTTTATTAGTTTAAAAATAAATAATACGTATAATATAAGAGAGAGTGCGTGCGGACATTATTCTATGCGGTGACGTGTTGTGGCTTATCATGGTGCTGCATAATTATTAAATATTTTTTAAAATATTATAATAATTTAATTAAAAATTATTTATTTTAATTTTTGTTATTAGAAAAAATAATTAAAAATAAATAAATCCGCGCCAATGATGTGATTAGTTATAAAATTAGAACAACAGTGATATAGTAATTAGATTTTAAATTTATTTTAAATAAATGTTAGAATAATTAATCTTAAAAAATTCGATAATTTTTATTATCATTACTAAATTAATAATTATAATTCATAGTGAATTTGTATTCTATTGCTAATTTAAAAACGAAAATGAAATAATTAAAATAAAAAAAAATGGATTAACTCATGCCATATATAAAATCGTAGGTGTCATCCCCATCATATAATATAATTCATGGCATATATAAAGTTGGAATTATGTTACGTTAAAATCACATCACAACATTTCAATTGATTTCTATCAAATTACAATGGAATGGGATAAGGCCGAATTGACTAATTGTCCAATAAGGATGATGGGCGGGGCCCAAATATTGACATAAAAAGAATAATTATATAACATATATAAATTTTAATTTTATAAATGATATAAATATATATATATATATATACACTTAATTCCAACTCAATTCAAAGTTTATTGTTTTACTGCCATCTTTTTATTTTCACTCTCCAAATTAAATAGAGAAAAATTAAATATTTTCTAATATTGAAATCAAAATATGAATTAATAATTAATCATGAACATCACATGCATGATGGGTTTAATCTCTTTTTCCATTAAATAAAAATAAAATACATGAAAAATAGAGATATATATATATATATACACATATATTAGACTTCATTATGATCATGATCATGATCATGCATTTGATCTCCATGTTGAGTTTGATTGTGATCTTGATCTTGATCTTGAATGTTGACCTTAAATTCATTCATCACATTTTGTCCCACCATCTGAAAATTCATTGCTTGGCCCTGCCCTACTCCATTGTTATTGTTCATCTTTGATCCTCCATTTTGCACTTAACAAAGATAAATTATAATTTAATTTACATAGTAATTATTTAAAAAAAATTTAAACTAATTTAAAATTTGTCAATTTTTAAAATAAAATATTATTTTTACAAAAAATTTTAGAACAAATAGTTATTTGGTAATTTTACCTGCATTATTGTTGTCTGCTATCGTTGCTGATTTTCTCCTTTGATGCATTATGAGAAATAATCCCGCGATAATCCATATAAGAACAAATAATGGAATCGTGACTCCAAGTATTATTGGTAGCTTATTACTTTTCTTATTGTCATCAGAAGACGAATTTGTTGAGTCGTCGCTTCGTTTGTTGGTTTCACTTGTTTTACACTTTTTGTCGGATGCACATAATTCAGAATTACCCGTTATTCTGGTATTTAAATCACAATATACAATTTGAATATATTAAAAACTATCATATTTTTAAATTCATCTAAACATATTCGTTCATTCAATTAAGAAAAAAAAAATGGATTACTCACACTAATTTTAGCTGACTGTTCTTTGAAATTGAGGTGGGAATTGGTCCAATGAACAAATTATCTGCCAAGTTCCTAAGAATTACAATTTCAAATTGATTAATTAGTATGAAAATAACAAGTTTAATCAAAACAATTTGTTTTAAGATAATTAAACTCACAATAACTTCAGATTAGGTAAGGTGCCAAGAAATTCAGGTATAGTCCCCTCCAAGCTGTTGTTATGCAAATCTCTGCAACATATCATATTACAAATAAATAAATAAATACAAAATTAAATTTAAATTAGAAAAATATAATTTGATTATGCAATTTTTTTCTTTCCCCAACTCACACTGTTTCCAAAGCAGTCATAGAGCTGAAATCAGGGAGCCGACCAGACAATTCGAAGCTGCTGAGATGCCTGCAAAAATTTATTTATTTATTTGCAGTATTTAAAGTGGTTAATCATATATTTACTCTTTTTTAAATGATAATTAAATTAATATAATGAAGTATTTAAGTTAATTACAATGCCGTTACACGTGGCGTGACATCACTGGTGCAGTTGATCCAATCCCATGCATAAGGAGCAGGAAGGCAAGGATCACCTTGCCAATCACCGAGCACGCTGAATTCTTCTTGAAGTGCAGCTAAACCTTCAACTGATTTAACAAAACACAGTTTCATACTTATATACAAGCATGTCATTAACGAAAAAACCTATATATACATATATATATATATGTATAAGAATTACCGTCACTGGTATGTGTTCCATCAGTCAAAGCATCACTGATGGTGAAAACCTCCAAAGCATTAATGAGAGGAGGCAAGGTAGAATCAGGGGTAGCCTCTAACGAGAAAGTGGTATTGGAAGATGCGGAGAAATTACTTAAAAAAACTTCTCCTGCAACTCCAAATGGCGGGACGAGCTCATCCGAGGAGGCTTCGCCATTGATGTGGAGCTTGAAGGATCTTTTGTCTAAGGAAGACAACTGGGTGACCTCTGAGAAGTACATGTTCATGTAGATTGGGACACTGGTAAGAGGAAGATTGGTGCCTAGGGTTATAATTATGGAGGTGTTTGGAGCAGCAAAGGCATTTTGTAGAACTTCTTTTGGTGGGTTGTCCTTTAGGTTAACTAAAATTAGAGATGCTTCGTTCTCGAGTTCTGTGAATCCTGCTGCGTTTACTGCTGGAATCCAGATTCTGTCAAATGGGTCGGTTGGGAACCTGAAAAATGAATTTGAGAGATTTTAGTTTAAAATTAGGTTACATAATAATTAAGTATATTTTTATATATAAACCTAACGAAAACATATTCTGATTTTGACTTTTGAAAAAATTACTTTAAATTTACACATTTGATTTTTAAAACATTTTTAAAATGTAAAAAAGAAAATTAAAATCCAAGGTAGACGCATCCTATTTACTATTACTTATAAAAATAAAATAACATATATTTAATTAAAATAATTTTTGAGATTTCATATATAAATTTATGTTAAAAAAAATATTTATTTTTTAAAACTATAAATTATAAGTTTTGTCTCTACGAGTATCAAAAACGAATTTTCATATTTTTTCTAAAAATATTTCTTAATTTTATCGGTTATTTGTAAATATGTTCTTAAAAATACAAAAATTAAAACCAAACAACGAGCACATACGTATATATATATATATATACCTTATGATATCAGAAGCGCCAAAAGCAACTCTCCTCCTCAAAAACAAAGCATGGTTAGAATCAACATGTCCGTACATGTCAGAGCTCAGAGATCTCACTTCAATGGCGGATATGAAAGGAACCATGTTAGGAAAAGACTGAGCTACGCACACACTTGTACTCCCCCTCTTAGGTGAGTAAATGGCCTCGTAGTACACTAAGTCGTCGCCGGACGTCACCACGGTGGTCCAGCGGTTACCGTCGAACTGGAGATCGAACATCGGCGGCGAAGATTTCTTGTCGTAGTTGCCATAGAAGAAGCTCGCTCGGACCAAAAGCTGAGACCCTTTGTCGGCTTCAATGGCGTAGCAGTTCTTGTTGCGGGTGGGGAAGGCTCTGAGCGTCGTGAGGTATTGAGGCAGTGTCGTTTTGGTTGATTGGACGGTGAATGACTCGCCGTTTTGGATGAGTTCGTCGTCTCCGACCCAGGTTATTTGGTTGTCGTCGGAGAAGGTTTCCGACGAGCCGCAGTCTATGCTTACTGAAAATGTGAAACATAATTAAATAATATATATACACACACACACATACAGATGTAAGTATAAGATATATATAGATCTTTATTTAAGAAATGAAGAAGAAAAGAGATTACCATCTGCAAAAGCGGATAAGGAAGAAAAAGCCAAGAGAAGAAACAAGAGAGAGCTAACCATGGAGGAGGTACTCATGGGTTATTTTGATCAAGGATGAAGCTTAGCCCTTTGGATAGATACGTGTGTATGTATATGTGTGTATATATATATATATAGGTATGTATGGATATACGATTTTGATGGGCATTCGCGGGAACATGTGGAATATTACATGCAGAGTAACTAGTTGAGAGAAGAGTTGACTTTGAATGACATTACAAAAGAGAACGGAAATAAAACTTAGAATTTGA